TCTCCTTGCCAGAGACCTCCCCCACCCTGCGGTGGACGGGGAAGGTTGGCGATGCGTCTGCGTTTTCGGTCTGGGGATCTCGGGCGTTTGTCCGCGACTTGTCTACGGACAAGCTGTCCCCCCGTGCTGTTCCCTGTGTCTTCCTTGGCTTCCCCCCTGACGGCTTGGGTGGCAGTTTTACCACCCCACCTCGCGCTGTGTTCTGTCCTCCCAGGACCTCACCTTTGACGAGTCGGTGCCTTACTACCGTCTCTTCCCCTACCGCATTGCGCCCCTCCCCCCGCCGCCGCTCTTCCTTGCGCCAGGTCCTCCCCCGGTAGACCCCCTTCCCCCTCAGGGTCCTGCTCCGTCAGGTGTGTCCTAGGTAGACGCAGTTGAGCCTGTTGAGGTAGCTGTTGACTCTGGTACTACTAGAGGTGCTGAGCCTGAGGTTGCGGAGCCTTGGGGTGCTGAGTCCAGGGGTGCACAGCCTGGGGGTGCTGAGCCTGGGGGTGTTGAGTTTGGGGGTGCTGAGCCTGGGGGTGCTGAGCCTGGGGGTGCGGAGCCTGGGGGTGCTGGGTCTGCTCGTGTGGCCTCTCGCGGTACTTCGTCAAGGCGGGAGCCACTCTCTCCGCAGGAGCTGCGCGAGTGGTTTGCTCGGTGCTGGAGGCGTGCTGCTGGAGCTGGAGGTACTACTGTTGTTGCTAGTCCCCGAGATGCTTCTACTGGCGGTTCTAGAGCTGCTGGGACTAGGGGTACTGCTGGCGCTGGTGCTGCCGCTGGGGGTACTGGTGGTGTCCCTGCTGAATCTGGAGGCGCTCCGCGGCCGAGGCCGTACTTCGTTCCGCTCCTTGAGCAGATCCTTGGTCTCCCTACGCTCGTCCTACTGGAGGTCTTGCTGAGCGTCGTGAGCCTGCGTCTCGTCCTGCGTCGCCTATTCGTGCTACTAGCACTAGTCGTCGTGCTCCGCGTACGCGTCCTCCTACGGTCCCAGGCACACACCAGATGGCACTGCGTCCTTTCACTGCTCCTCTGCGTGTTCCGTTGCCGTCTCCTCCAGAGTCCTCTCTTCCTGTTCTTGCTGACCCAGTGTCTGACTCTCTTCATGCTGCCAGTCCTACGATCACGCGTCTCCTGGCCACTACTGTCACCGACCCTTCCTTTGAGTCCAGTGCTGCGTCTGCCTTAGTTGCTGAGCTTGTCGACTTTGTTGCTCGCTGTCGTCTAGACTACGCCACTAGTCTCGTTGCTGAGTCTGAGTCTGTCTGTCCTCCGTCCGTCGAGGGTGAGTGTGCTCTTAGCACTGACATCCTTGAGGACAGGCAGGAGGAGCTCCTGTGTTTTGCTGCTGCTTTGCCTCATCTCGTGTCCATGCTGATTGCCCCTGAGGGAGACCCGGATGCACCAGACATCCCGACTCCTCGATCGTACGCTGAGGCGATCGAGGGTCCCTACTCCTCACAGTGGCAGTCAGCCATGGACGCAGAGATGGCTTCCTGGAAGTCCACATGCACCTACGTCGACGAGGTTCCCCCACCTGGGGCGAACATCGTAAGTGGCATGTGGATTTTCAGGGTGAATAGGCCGCCGAGTTCTCCGCCTGTCTTCAAGGCGCGTTATGTGGCTTGACGCTTCAGTCAGCGGCAGGGAGTTGACTACTTTTAGACCTTCTCTCCCACCCTAAAGATGACCACTCTTCGGGTGCTGCTGCACATAGCCGCTCAGTGCAACTACGAGCTTTACTCTTTTGACTTCAGCACAGCTTTCCTGCAGGGCAGCCTGCACGCGGAGATCTGGCTGCGCTGCCCACCTAGCTTCACTGGGTCGTTTCCTCCTGGTACCCAGTGGAGCCTCCGGCGGCCAGTCTACGGTCTCCGCCAGGCGCCCCATGAGTGGCACCACACACTGAGAACTACACTTGTGGCTTTTGGGTTTGCTCCTTCTACAGCCGACCCATCGCTATTTCTGCACACCGACACCTCTTTGCCGCCGTTCTACATCCTCGTGTACGTCGACGACTTGGTCTTTGCCACTGCTGACACTGCTGGACTCGCCCACGTGAAGTCCGAGCTGCAGAAGAGACACACGTGCACAGACCTGGGTGAACTGCGCAGCTACCTTGGCTTGCAGATCACCCAGGACAGAGCACATCACACAATTACCCTGACTTAGTCACACATGGTGCAGCAGGTCCTTCAGCGCTTCGACTTCACGTACTCCTCGCCTTAGGCTACTCCTCGGTCTACTCGCCACTCGCTCTCAGCTCTACCTTCGAATGAGTCCGTAGAGACGACTGGCCCGTACCCAGAGCTTGTTGGCTTCCTCATGTACCTGATGACCTGCACACGACCTGACCTTGGATACCCTCTTAGCATCTTGGCACGCTATGTTGCTCGCGGGAGACACCGACCAGAGCACATGGCTGCAGCAAAGAGGGTTTTGCGCTACTTGTGCAGTACGTTGGGCATGGGGCTAGTGCTTGGAGGGAGACGTTAAGTGGTCCTCATAGGTCACGCAGACGCTTCTTGGGCTGACGACCAGGCTACGCAGCGGTCGTCACAGGGTTACACCTTCAGCCTTGGCTCCGGCTCTGGTTCGTGGCGGTCTACCCGCTCGTCTTCTGTTCTTTGCTCCAGATGTGAGGCTGAGATCTACGCGGGGGCCATTGCTGCACAGGAGCTACGCGGGCTCACCTAGCTGCTGACTGACCTAAGAGAGCCGCCTCGTTCTCCTCTAGTTTTGTACGTAGACAACAAGGCCATGCTGGCCTTGTGTCGGGAGCAGAGACTGGAGCACAGAACGAAGCACATTGCTCTCCGCTACTTCCTTGCTCGTGAGCTGCAGCAGCGTGGTCAGCTCCGCCTCACCAACGTGGCCTCTGAGGCCAACACTGCTGATATCTTCACCAAGGCCCTTCCGCCTTGTGATCATCAGCGCTTCTGTACTTTGCTAGGTCTTGTGCCTACTTGGCCTCACTTTCTCACTTCTTGATCTTGTTTGTACTGTGATCTTTCTATACCTGCACTTGCCTGTTTACCTTTATATATGATCTTGCATGTGAACTGGCCTTGTGGCCTTGCTCTTGTGCTCGGATTGTGTGGTGACGTTGTGATCCACCATGAGCTTGCTTTGTTTTGCTTGACTGGTTTTGTGACTTCTTGTTCTCCCCCACTTTACCTATGGGGGTGTGTCAAACTTGTATCATATAGCTTGTCTTGGCTATAATGGGGTAGACACTATAGGGTACAGTTTCTCAGGGTTTCCTACTTGTACCCAACCTTGTGCTAGTTCATACATTCCTCGTTTCTTCACAGGCGCCGGCGCAGGGCAGGGCGTGCACGAGGCCGCTCGAAGCGGGGCAAGGCGGGGCGTGCGCGGGGCAGTGCGATGCAGGGTAGTGGGGTAACACGGTAACCGCAGTCGGAAGCTAAGTATAGTGGGCCGGGAAAAATACGGTCCTACGGATCTACTGCTCTGAAACCATGTCAAGATAGCAAGCAAGAATGATTGCATTGACTGAAATGTGGGTACAAGTACTAACCCTAACTTTAGGTTGTACCCCATATGGGCTACCCCACTATAGCCTACACAGAACAAACATATATATAGTTTCATAGGCAGGCGGCGCGGCATGCAGTCGAGCGGGCGGCGCGGTGCGCTAGCCGGCGGGCAGCGCGGCAGGCTGTCGGGCGGGCGGCGCAATGCGTGGCGCGCTGGTGTGCGCGCTGGAGGGGCGCGCTGGCGTGCGCGCAGGTGGGGCGTGCTGGCGGGCGCGCTGGCGTTCGCGCTGGCAGGGCGCGTTGGCTAGGGCGCTGACGTGCGCGCTGGCGGGCCTGCTGGCTAGGGCGCTGGCGGGCCTGCTGGCTAAGGCGCTGAGGGGCCTGCTGGCTAGCGCGCTGGCAGGCCTGCTGGCTAGGGCGCTGGCGGGCCTGCTGGCTAGCGTAGGGCAGACAGGGAGGAGAGAGACGGCCTAAGTCTAGGAACGTCGGAGACTAGTTGTGGCCTAGGAACGGCAAACGTACTGCTGATACCATCTCACACACTGAAAAACAGCGGAATGAGTTGGATTGATTGGGTTGGGGTACAAAATGCCTAACCCTAACTGTTTGTACCCCATATAGCATAACCCACTTGAGGCTATAACATTTCACACCTTGTGCACAGTTGGTTGTCTTGTGCGGTTTGAGCTGGTCCCGAAGTGTATGCCGATATGGCCTTGTACATTGATGTGCTGCTTGACAAAGCTATCGTTTATTGTAATGAATACTGGCGGTTGGTGATTGAAGCACGGTCGAGGCCCAGTGTACATTGCTCCACACTGCGAAAACTGGTGAGATGTAAGGAAATTGAAAATCTCCCTTACGCGCTCTCTTCTTTCCAGAACTAGTGAATGTTTCATTCCCTTGCAGTCCTCCTCTTTGGCCCTCTTTGTGCTCAAACGAACCGACTTCTGAACTGAGAGAGGCAGTTTCGCTTGACCGACTGAGCATTTCCCGCCGCCACTAATGATTCGTCCAACCATCGTTTAGCCTGCCCCACGAATTGCAGCGAAGCCAGCCTGCAAGCCACAAACCCCAGCAATGATCGAGGCCGTCCGTTGAATCTCAACAGAGGCTGGCTGAATGTGTGTCAGAGACTTGCTTCCGCGACACGGGAAGTTTGCAGAGCGGAGCGCCAGGGGGTGAAATCTGGGGTGAGATTCGTCCCGTGGAAGGATCTGTCCGACCAAAGGAGTCCCCTGGTGACACTTCTTCCTCTCTGCATCCGTCAAGCAGCACCTCGAGAATACCGAACTCACCTTGTTCAGTTCACCTTGTTCGGTAGGCACCTTCTGCGACTGTGGATCGGTGAGCTCTGTGCTGAGGGTCTTGTTTGTTGTGGTTGTCGGCTCCAAGAATTAAATCTGTAGCGTCGACAGACCCTCATAGCAATCGCTAATTCTTTTCCGACCTTACAAAAACTCCAGTGAACAGATCTAGGGAACGCTCCAGGGCTCCTGAGCTGCTTAGACTCCCGCTGTCATGGCACAGCCTGGAAACCGCAAGGCGGGTAACCGCCGCCGTTCCAGCGGAGAGCAGGCGGTTATTGTCGGAGTGCTGCTAACGCTGATCTTTCTCGTTTACAACGGCCGGTTTCCATCTATTTTTCCGTCTCGCAAGAGCGCCCAGTACGACAACCTCAGCGCCACGGCGCTGCGCAAACTCCAGGCGGAGGATGCGGCGCTCCTCGCGCCGGAAGAACCGGAGAGCGAGGGAGAGAGCCAGGCAGCTTTTGACGCCGACGAGGGGCCTTACTACATGGAGCCGCGGGTCAAAGGTAGGTATCTACGAGCTGAACATATTGTGTGCTTCACGGCGAGCACAAGTATTCTGGTTTTCAGGAAGAGCGTTCGATGCTGATGAGGAGCCTTACCATATGGAGCCGCAGCTCAAGGCTAGGTCAACCCCGGGTCAAGGGTAGGTCAACTGCGGGTCAAGGTTATGCCAATGGCGGGTCAAGCGTATGTGTCATTTACGGGTCAAGGAAAGAAGATGTGTGAGAGCTAGTGGCTGATCGTTCGGGTGACTATCATCAAATCAGCAAAAATGTTACCCGCACGTCATTGATGGATCAAGGCAATAAGATGTGTGAGAGCTAGTGGCTGTTCGTTCGGGTGACTATCATCAAATCAGCAAAATTATTACCCACACGTCATTGATGGATCAAGGCAATAAGATGTGTGAGAGCTAGTGGCTGTTCGTTCCACGGCGAGTCGCGTGCCGCAGAGATAGTGCGTGTTCGTCGGCGAGCATAGGAAGTGCGTCGTTCAGAGTGAGCGTGCGACGCTTCTAATGAGTACGTCAATAGCGAGTATAGGTTGTAGAACGATCGGTCGTCAATGCCAAGCAGGCGCACTAGATGCTCAAGACAGCGGTATGCACTTTTGAGACTTCTCAACAGCGGGTATGCTCGTCGAGAAACCAAGAAATCCGTGTTCGCGAGTCGCCTGTAATTTATATGAAATTGCGAGGCGTTTTGAGAAGTCTCGAGACTTTGCGTGACTCTGGAACAACGGAAGCCTCAAGTTGCGCGATCCGTGGCTTTGGCCAACGCGGCGCGCCGTTCGCATCGAATGGCGCGGCTGTTGCGAGGCGTCGGGGATAGCTGTTCATCGCACTCTAAGGGTGCGCTGCCCAAAGCTGCTCTAAGGATGCTCGATTTCCTCACCCACGTGTTTTCAGAATTGCCGTTCTTCCACAATGAGCGAAGACAGTAGGGGTGCGGTGCTCTAAGCTGCTCCAATGATGCTCGAATTCCACACCCACCTCCCCTTCCCTTCCTCTCCCCCTCCTCTCCCTTCCCCTCCTTTCGCGAGTTAGGGTGCGCGCACAAGGCTCGCTGCTCATAAACCAAACACATCGCACGTTGTGACGAGTGGCGATGCTGCTTACATCGCAGCTACGAGGCGAAGGAATTATAAATTTGATTTGCGCACAATACTCGCTCACCGCTTCTCCCCTTCCCCCTTTTCCCCCCTTCGCTACAATCGCCCCGCCGCAGACTGGGACGAGCAGCGAAACGCGTACATCGCGGCGCACCCGGGGTGCAACGCGACGCGCGACGGCAAGCCCAAGGTGATGCTAGTGTCGGGCTCCAACAGCAAGCGGTGCGGCGAGGGCCCCAACAGCGGCGACTTCTTACTCCTGAAATTCCTCAAGAACAAGCAGGACTACGCGCGAGGCTCGCTCACCGTTCCCCTCGTCCCCCCGCACCCCCTCCCCCCCGCTCCCACTCTCCCCGCCGCAGACTGGGACGAGCAGCGGAACGCGTACATCGCGGCGCACCCGGGGTGCAACGCGACGCGCGACGGCAAGCCCAAGGTGATGCTGGTCTCGGGCTCCAACAGCAAGCGGTGCGGCGAGGGCCCCAACAGCGGCGACTTCTTACTCCTCAAGTTCCTCAAGAACAAGCAGGACTACGCGCGCGTGAACGACATGCCGTTCTACTACGGCATGGGCGCCATTGACCCGCGGCTCAAGACGTTCTGGGTGAAGCTGCCCATGCTGCGCATGCTCATGCTGCAACACCCGGATGTGGAGTGGTTCCTCTGGGTCGACTCCGACGCCATGATCACCGGTGAGGCGCGTTGAGGGGGGAGGGGGTTAGCCCAGGGTTGGGAAGTGGCCGAGGAATGGATTTGGGATAATACATGAGACGCAACGGTCGCCTCATGCTGCAGCACCCCGACGTGGAGTGGTTCCTCTGGATCGACTCGGACGCCATCATTACTGGTGAGGGGACTGGGGGGGATTTGGGGTTTGGGAGGAATCCGAGGATGGAAAGTAGCAGAGGAAGGGGTTTCGGTTGGTATGAGATGCAACGGCCGGCTCATGCCGCGGCACCCGACATGGAGTGGTTCCTGTGGGTCCACTCCGACGCTATGATCACCGGTGAGGTGCGTGGGGAATAGCAGAGGTGGGAGTTAAGCTTGGGGAGTAGGCTTGGCTGGGAAGGTAGGTCTGGTCTGGGAGGTAGGTCTGGTCTGGGAGGTAGGTCTGGATTGAATCTGAGTAGTCGCACGCTCGGCATCTGCAGCGGTTGGCTCGTGCCGATGTGGAGTGGTTCCTGTGGATCGACTCGACCCCGACGCCATGATCACGGGTGAGGGGCGCGGAGTGGTTGGACGCCAGGTGAAAAACATACACGCTAGTGTCTTTGAGACGTCTCAAAACTCAGGTTGGACGCTAGGTGAAAAAAGGGTGTTTTTTATCACGGGTGAGGGGCGTGGTGTGGGAGGTAGCCGAGGTTCGGATTGGGCTTGAGATCTTTGAGTGATTCCATGCGCAACGGTCGGCTGACGCTGCAGCACAACAGTCTACCCCCCATCCCTTCTCCTCCTTCACCTCCCCCATCTCTTCTCCTCCTTCCCCCATCCCCCATACCCCTTTCCCCGTCCCCCATCACCCATTTGCCCCCATCCCTTTCCTCCCCTCCTTCCCCGTTCTCTCCCATCTGCCCCCCTCCACCATGTGGAGACATGGCGTTCTGGTACCTCATCGAGAAGCAGGCGGACAAGGCACGATCCTCATTCCCGCTCCCCGTTTCCCCCCTTCTCTTCTCCCCCTACCCCTTCTTCCCCTCCCCCCATCCCCGCCTGGCAGACATGGCGTTCCGGTACCCCATCGAGAGGCAGGCGGACAAGGTGCTCGTGATGTCTGGGCTGGACGCTGACGTGTACGGCAAGAAGGACTGGTGAGTGCGTGGTGACGTGTACAGCAAGAAGGTTTGGTGTGAGTGCGTGCTGACGTGGCAAGAGGGGAAGAGGCGGAGGGAGGAAGAGGGGAGGAGGGATGGAAGGATGCGGTGAGTGGGGTAAGGAGAGAAGGGGAAGTTTCAACCAGTGACACTCGCCTCTCACGGCACTCGCCTCTCACGCCCCTCTCACGCCCCTCTCACGCCCCTCTCACGCCCCTCTCACGCCCCTCACACGGCACTCGCCTCACACGCCCCTCACACGCCCCTCAGCGCCTCTAGCGTCACACAGCACTCGCCTCGCCCACCTTCATGCCATTTGCCGCTTCCTCCCTCCCCCGTTGCTCACCCCCTCCGTCTCCACCTCATCCAGCATCGCTCACGCTTCCCCACCTTCCTCGCTTCCCCACTTCCTCTCTCCCGTCTCCGTCCTTCCCTTCACTTCCTCCCCTCCCGTCTCCTCTCCACGCCTCCCCTCCTCTCCACGCCTCCCCCCCCCTCATTTTTCCTCCCGTCCCTTCCCCTTCCTCGCGTTGCCTCCCCTTACTGCTTTCTTCCCGCTCCCCCTCGCCTCACCCGCACTCCCCGGGTAGCCCTCAACACCAAAAGCTAATTCTTGACTACAAAATCTCCCCCTTCCCCACCTCCTCGCCCTTACCTTACCTCCCGGGTAGCCCTCAACACCCGAAGCTAATCTTAGAGTCTACGAAATCTTCCCCTTTCCTCTTCCGCTCTCCTCGCCCGCACCCCCAGGGTAGCCCTCAACACCCGAAGCTAATTCTTGAGTCTACTAAAACATCTTCCCCTTCCCTCTTTTCCACCTCCTTGCCCGCACTCCCAGGGTGGCCCTCAACACGGGAAGCTTCCTCATCCGCAACTCCCAGGTAAGCATTCCCGCCGCCTCACTACCATCCTGCCACGTCATTGTCCTGTCACTCCCACTGCGCCACGTCATCGTCTCTGCCTCGTGACCACATGGCCGTTTCTCTTCCCTGTGCGGCTGCACCATCCCCGCCTGTGCCCTCTGCCAGCCTTTCCATACGCAGCACTGCCCTCATTTTCAGGGCGATTTTTGGGAGTTCTCAAAAATCGCTCACAAGGACCGCGACTGGGCGCACTGCAGTGCAGTGACACGTCGCTGCATGATCGCTGCTGCCCCTCTGCTGCACCGCACTCGCTCCCTTGTGTCCCACTGCCCCGTGTTGCCCCTCTGTCATGTGCTGCCCCTCTGTCATGTGCTGCCCCTCTGTCATGTGCTGCCCCTCTGCGCCGTACAACAACCCTTTGTACCGCTGTCTCACATCCCTGCTCCCCTTGCGAGTGCGCCCGCCCGCACACCAGGACGGGCTGGATCTGCTGGACGACTGAGGGCAGTACGGGCGGTCGGAGGAGGCCGCTCCGCCGCGCCCATCACCCCGTTCCACGCCGTCTCACAACCCTGCTCCCCTTCTGTGTGTGTTTGTGCGCACACCAGGACGGGCTGGACCTGCTGGACGACTGGGGGCAGTACGGGCGGTCGGAGAAGGTCACGGTCAAGTGGGGCGAGATCGCCAGCCGCGTGCTCCAGGTGCGTGCTGTGCTGTGCTGTGCTGTGCTGTGCTGTGCTGCGCTGTGCTGCGCTGTGCTGTGCTGTGCTGCGCTGCGCTGTGCTGTGCTGTGCTGCGCTGTGCTGTGCTGTGCTGTGCTGTGCTGTGCTGCGCTGTGCTGTGCTGTGCTGTGCTGTGCTAAGCTGTTCTGTGCTGTGCTGTGCTGTGCTGCGCTGTGCTGTGCTGTGCTGTGCTGTGCTGTGCTGTGCTGTGCTGTGCTGTGCTGTGCTGTGCTGTGCTGCTGCTCAGGTGATAAGATAACACCAGAGTGGTGTGCTGTGCAGTCGAGTTTGAAGAGCTGACTTCTCACAGTCGACTTGTTGGTCATTATTCTGCTCCACCCTCTTCACGTCATCATCTCGTTGCCTTCCCATGTGCCTTCCCATGTGCCTTCCCATGTGCCTTCCCTCTTCCCCACCGCACACCTCCTTGCGCCCCACCCTCCTGCATCGCCCCACCCACTCCCTCCCCCACTCCCTCCCCCACTCCCTCGCCCTCTCCCTCCCTCTCTCCCTCCCCCTCTTCCCTCGCCCCCTGCCCCCGCCAACCCTCACAGAAACGCAAGAACTGGCCGGCGGACGACCAGACGGCGCTGGTGCTGATGCTGACGGGCGAGGGCGAGAGCGAGGAGGACAGGGCCAAGGGGCTCAAGCCGCTGGCGGACCGCTGGGCTCCGAAAACGCACCTGGACCCCACGTACACTCTGCACGGCTTTTGGGGAATCTTCGTAGACAAGTGAGTGACAGCAGAGGAGAGTGCAGCAATTCAGCCAAACCTACAGACCATACACCTGCACTCTGTGGGAAGACTGGTCTCCAGACACTCAACACTCATCATCGTCCTCCCCCTTCGCCCCGTCGTCCTCTCCCCCCACCAGGCTGGAGCAGATAGCAGCCAAGTACCACAACGGAGTGGGCGACTGGGAGTGGCCCTTCACGGTGCACTTCACGGGGTGCAAGCTGTGCGACCGCAAGTTCTCCGACTATGACCCCGACACCTGTGACCGCGGGATCCACCGGTATGTGGGAGTGGCACGTACCACACACACCGGTATGTACATTCATCAGCATTCCGCACTCATAAGAAGTTCTCCGACTATGACCCCGACACCTGTGACCACGGCATTCACCGGTATGACCTGCACTCACTACTACAAGCAAGCACTCAGAAAGAGGTAGCACTCACAGCATTCATCCATTTGAAGTACTGATAAGCATTTGCAAGTTCTCTGACTACAATTCCGACTCCTGCAACCGCGGCATTCACCGGTATGGGAGGCACTCACACTACGAGCATTCAAGCACTCACACTACGAGCATTCAAGCACTCACACTACGAGCATTCAAGCACTCACACTACGAGCATTCAAGCACTCACACTACGAGCATTCAAGCACTCACACTACGAGCATTCAAGCACTCACACTACGAGCATTCAAGCACTCACACTACGAGCATGCAAGCTTCTCCGACCATGACCCTGCCACCTGCGACTGCGGCATTCACCGGTCTTGGAAGCACTCACACTACGAGCATTCAATCAGCATTCAGAGCGATTCAAAATTCCCTGGTTTTCCCTTTTACCCCTCTGCTCCCCCCTCAGGTCGTATGCCTTTGCGGACAACCGGGTGCTCAAGAGGCAAGGCTTGCAGCAAGGTGGTCTCATGGATGCAATACGAGCTATGCTCATCACTACCCCCCACGTGCTTTTCCCCTTCGCCCCTCTGCTCCCTCACACACCCCTTCAGGTCGTATGCCTTTGCGGACACCAGGTGCTCAAGAGGAACGGCCTGCAGTATGCAATGCAAGCCTTGTAAATTACCACCCTCCCTTTCCCCCCACTCTGTTTTCCCCTTCACCCATCTGTTCCTCTCAACCCGCTCAGGGCGTACTCCTTTGCGGACAACCAGGTGCTCAAGAGGTATGGCCTGGTGGTGTTTTGAGGTGACTAAGTCACCATGTGTTCCCCCCTTCGCCCGTCCTTTCCTTCATGCCCCCTCAGGTCGTATGCCTTTGCGGACAACCAGGTGCTCAAGAGGTACGGCCTGCAGCATGCCAATCTCAACGACTCTGCCATCACCAAAATCGGAGCTCAGGCTGCCTGATATCGCAATATTTAGTGTAGAAAGAACAGTGATCAGAGAACTGTAGGGAAAAAACGGATTTGATTGTGTGTTGGTTCTTAAAGTGAATTTGTTTAGGGCCCTTCATAAGTGGTAGTTATAGAGTAAGGAAAATGTGTGCTGGTCCCATTTGTAATTTTCGTGTCTTATCAATGGACCCAAGATGTGTGACTAAAAAGGCAATAGTGTGGAGGCATTAGACTGCCAAACTTATCTAGTACTACTTTTCGCCTTATGCCTTTGCATGTTCAGATATTACAACCAGCGCTAACGGGGTATCGAATAGCATGTTCGTACAAGTGAAATTCAGCCAAGGGGGAAAACCTAGTGACCAAGGTCACAAAGTTAGCAGCAGGCGCGGTGGACATACTAGATACGGAGTCGCGAGCAATGCCTCATCAGCTACAATAAAATTAGCCTTATTAGGTCGTCAAGCCTGCTACAGAGCTCGTTCAGAGCTGGTCGAAGTTTCTGCCTTCTTTACAGACCCATTTCTCGTCGCCTCGCGCTGCTTCCGTTGCGACCGTAGTTTCGGATCGTCGCGTGACGATGGCGGAAGGCGGTCGCGGGCGACACTATCGCCACCGTCGCCGAGGTGAAAGCGACAGCGGTAGCGACAATAGCGACAGCGATGATAGCGGGAGCAGGCGACGGAATTCGCCGGTTTCTGACGACGACCGGGACGACCGGCGGGGCGATCGTGGGCGACGCGTGCGACGAAGGTATTCGTCGGACGAGGAAGAGGAGGAGAGGAGAGAAGGAAGGGGGAAAGAGGAGAAGAGGAGGGAGAAGGCGAAGGGAGGAGAGTCGGACCGGCATGCTTCGAAACATGCGGATCGGCGTCGGAGCGAGAAGCGGCGATCTGCCAGCGACGACGACGAGGACGAAGAGGCGGAGCGGGGGAAGCTACGCGGCGGCGATCGCGATGGCGGGAAAAGAGGGAGAGGCGGGAGAGACAGTCACAGCACAGGCGGGAGGCGGAGGAGGGGGAGCGAGTCCGCGAGTGAAAGCGATTCGGAATCGGAGGGGGAGAGGAAGAAGGGGCGGCGGAAGGGGGGCGAGGAGGGGAGTGAGGGACGAGGGGCGAAGGGGGGCGGGCGGAGAGCGCGTGTACGGCGTAGCGGGAGTGACAGTAGCGAGGATGAGGCGAAGGAGAGGAGACGGAACAGGCATCGCGACCAGGAGGAGGGGGGGGAGGATGAGCGAAGAGCGGGGAAAGCGGCGAGGGAGGAGAGAGCAAGAGGGAACGAGTCGAGGACCAAAGCGCGTGGCACAGCTGCTGCTACTTCTCCTGCTGCTGCCGCCACGGGGGCTGCTACCAAGCCACTGCGCGCCAAGCCAGCCCAACCAGCCAAGCAGGCCCAACCAGCGCGCGCGCAGCCACCCCTGGATGCAGCAGCGCTGGCAGCAGAAGCTGCGCGCGCTGCTGCTGGTTTTGGCCCCTCCGCCCCCGCCTCTTCCGCTGCTCCCCCACCCCTCCCCCACCCCCCAGCCCTCCCGCCGTCGTTCCCCCCTCCCCCGTCCGCCTCCGCCCCTCCCATCCTCCCCCCTCCTCCGCCCCCCCCGCACTACCCCTTCTCCGCGCCGCCCCCTCCCCCGCTTGGCGGCCCCCCTGTGCGCGCCGGGAATGGGGCTGCGGCAGAGGGTAGGGTGATTGCTGACGTGGACAGATCCGCGTCGGGGGGGAGAGTTCTTGCTGACGTGGATCCTGAGACGCTGCAGGCCATGGAAGCAACGCAGAAGGCGCTGGAGGCGAAGGAGGGGGAAAAGAAGAAGGTGAGGGGGGGGGAGGATAAGGTGAGGGGGGGGGAGGATAAGGTGAGGGGGGGAGGAGGATAAGGTGAGGGGGGGGAGAATAAGGTGAGGGGGGGGAGAATAAGGTGAGCAGAGGGGGAGAACTAGGTGAGGGGGGGAGAATAAGGTGAGCGGAGGGGGAGAAGAAGGCGAGGAGGGGGAGAAGAAGGTGACCGTGAGGGGGAGAAGAAGGTGAGGGGGAGAAGAAGGTGAGGGGGAGAAGGAGGTGAGGGGGAGAAGAAGGTGAGGGGGAGAAGAAGGTGAGGGGGAGAAGGAGGTGAGGGGAGAAGGAGGTGAGGGGGAGAAGGAGGTGAGGGGGAGAAGAAGGTGAGGGGGAGAAGAAGGTGAGGGGGAGAAGAAGGTGAGGGGGAGAAGGAGGTGGGGGGAGAAGGAGGTGAGGGGGAGAAGAAGGTGAGGGGGAGAAGAAGGTGAGGGGGAGAAGAAGGTGAGGGGGAGAAGAAGGTGAGGGTGAAAAGAAGGTGGGGGGGGAGGAAAAGAAGGTGAGGGGGAGAAGAAGGTGAGGGGGAGAAGGAGGTGAGGGGGAGAAGAAGGTGAGGGGGAGAAGAAGGTGAGGGGGAGAAGAAAGTGAGGGGGAGAAGAAGAAGGTGAGGGGGAGAAGAAGAAGGTGAGGGGGAGAAGGAGGTGAGGGGGAGAAGAAGAAGGTAAGGGGGAGAAGAAAAAGGTGAGGGGGAGAAGGAGGTGAGGGTTGGGGAGAGGGTTTTGAGAGGGGAAGTGCGCCAAAGAGAGAAAGAGAGTGGAGGGGGAAGGGTGGGAGCAGGAAGGAAAGAGGGGGTTGCGTGGGGAACGAGAAAAACGAAATTGAGGTATGGGGGGCGGTAGGTAGGGGGGCGGGGGTTAGTCAAGAATACCAAGGTGTGGGGCGCGGTGGTGAGAGAATGTGAGGGAGATGGGAGGGGGGTGGGGTGGATGCAGGTGTGGAAGGGAGGGAGAAAAGAAAGTGGGGTTATAGTCTGGGCTGTGTGGAGTGGTGATCGTGTGTCTGGGGCGCGGATAGGCGAGATGACCAAGGTGTGGGCGCGTGGGGGTGGGGAGACGGGAGAGTATGTGAGGGGAGATTGTGAGGAGGTGTGAGGGGAGAGAATGTAAGGGAGATGTGAGGGGCGGGTGTGGAGGCAGGACTAGGAGGGAGAATGTGAGGTGAGGTTGTGTGGAGAGAAGTGGCACAGACGCAGAGGCTTTGGGGCCGCTTGTATCTTAAAACCTTTCCAGTTCTCCCCGTCCCCTTCACTTGCTCCTGTGCCGCCTCCCTCTCCCTGGACGTTGCATTGCAGACAGCACAGCCGCCGTTCGAGCTGTTGGGGAAGCTGGCTGAAGAGGACTTCTGTCTCCCTCCATCGCGCTTCTTCCCCACCCCTCCTTCACTCCTTCCTTCCGTTGCTGCGTTTCCCCTGGCCCCCCCTTCCACCCCACCCCACCCCACCCCACACCTTCCAGGCAACACAGGCGCTGCTCGGGCTGAAGGGGACTTGTGTCTCCCTCGCTCAAGGGGACTTGTGTCTCCCTTGCTCAAGGGGACTTGTGTCTCCCTCGCTCAAGGGGACTTGTGTCTCCCTCGCTCAAGGGGACTTGTGTCTCCCTCGCTCAAGGGGACTTGTGTCTCCCTCGCTCAAGGGGACTTGTGTCTCCCTCGCTCAAGGGGACTTGTGTCTCCCTCGCTCAAGGGGACTTGTGTCTCCCTCGCTCAAGGGGACTTGTGTCTCCCTCGCTCAAGGGGACTTGTGTCTCCCTCGCTCAAGGGGACTTGTGTCTCCCTCGCTCAAGGGGACTTGTGTCTCCCTCGCTCAAGGGGACTTGTGTCTCCCTCGCTCAAGGGGACTTGTGTCTCCCTCGCTCAAGGGGACTTGTGTCTCCCTCGCTCAAGGGGACTTGTGTCTCCCTCGCTCAAGGGGACTTGTGTCTCCCTCGCTCAAGGGGACTTGTGTCTCCCTCGCTCAAGGGGACTTGTGTCTCCCTCGCTCAAGGGGACTTGTGTCTCCCTCGCTCAAGGGGACTTGTGTCTCCCTCGCTCAAGGGGACTTGTGTCTCCCTCGCTCAAGGGGACTTGTGTCTCCCTCGCTCAAGGGGACTTGTGTCTCCCTCGCTCAAGGGGACTTGTGTCTCCCTCGCTCAAGGGGACTTGTGTCTCCCTCGCTCAAGGGGACTTGTGTCTCCCTCGCTCAAGGGGACTTGTGTCTCCCTCGCTCAAGGGGACTTGTGTCTCCCTCGCTCAAGGGGACTTGTGTCTCCCTCGCTCAAGGGGACTTGTGTCTCCCTCGCTCAAGGGGACTTGTGTCTCCCTCGCTCAAGGGGACTTGTGTCTCCCTCGCTCAAGGGGACTTGTGTCTCCCTCGCTCAAGGGGACTTGTGTCTCCCTCGCTCAAGGGGACTTGTGTCTCCCTCGCTCAAGGGGACTTGTGTCTCCCTCGCTCAAGGGGACTTGTGTCTCCCTCGCTCAAGGGGACTTGTGTCTCCCTCGCTCAAGGGGACTTGTGTCTCCCTCGCTCCCCACCCCATCACTTCACCCTCCTAGTTTTGGACCGCCTAAAAATATGAATTATGTTTCCTTCTTTCCCTCTCTCCCCATCACCCTTCCCCACTGTTTCACTGCTTCCTTCCTTCTGCTGCCTCTCCTCCTCCTCTCCCGCCGCCCACAAACTGCAGGCAGCAGCACAGCCGCCATTTGAGCTGCCAGGCAAACTGGTCAAAGGCGATTTGTGTCTCCTTCTCTCCCTTCCCCCTACCCTTCCTCCCCTGCGGCCTTTCTTTTGCTGCGTCCCCCTTCCGTCCCTTCCCTGCCCCACTTTTCAGTCCACTCAGAATTCGGCTGCGTCCCCCCTCCTTCCCCCCTCCTTCCCCTCTCCTTCCCCCCTCCTTCCCCCCTCCTTCCCCCCTCCTTCCCCCCTCCGTCCCCCCCTCCTTCCCCCCTCCTTCCCCCCTCCTCCCCCGCTTCCCTCCCACGGCAGGCAGCGCAGCCATCGTTTGAGCTGTCAGGCAAACTGGTTGAGAACGATCTCTGTCTCCCTCTTCCACTCTCTCTCCCCTCCTCCACTGTTCCGCTGCTTCCTTCCCTCTGCTGCATCCCCCCTCCTTCCCCCTGTTGCCCCCTTATTCCCTCCCACGGCAGGCAGTGCAGCCATCGTTTGAGTTGTCAGGCAAACTGGCCGAAGAAACCAACCGCTTCCGAGGTCGGTGCTGTGCGGTGCTGGTGGGTGCTGGTGGGTGCTGGTGGGTGCCTGGTGGGTGCTGGTGGGTGGCTGGCGGGTGCTGGTGGGTGGCTGGTGAGTGAAGGTAATGGGGGCGGGGTGGGGGGGACGTGAGGCCGTGGGGAGAGAGCGAGGGTGAGGAGACTTCTGAGGCACGTCCATAGGGGTTTGTGTCAAGAGCAAAGATGTTTTGAGAATTCTCAAAGGGGAAAAGGTGTTTTGAGACATCTCAAACTGAGGCGCCTCGCCTCAATAGGGGTTTCTGTCAGGGGAAAAGAAGAGTGTTCAGGGTTCTTATTTCTTAGGGAAAAACATCCGTCTTGTGAAGAATTTCCATGTAGCTTCCTGGAGTCCAGTCCAGCAATCTCCCTCCGTCCCTGCTCTCCTGTGATATACCTTTGTGCTGCCCAACCCCACTGACCAATCGCATGCTGCCCAACCCCACTGACCAATCGCATGCTGCCAGGTGTCGCGCTCGTGTACAACGAGCCTCCAGAGGCGCGCAAGCCCTCCATCCGCTGGCGGCTGTACGTCTTCAAAGACGGGGAGCCTTTCAAAGGTGGGCTTTTTATGGTGATTCTCTTGAAGGCAAGGAGATTCTCAAAAGAGAAATTCGAGCATGAAGGTGCTTCTTTTAAATAAGCGAAAAAAAAAGAGAAAAAAAAAGAGGAGATTTCTTAAGCTGGGTTGCTTGCGCGCAGTGGTAACTGTTTGTAAACAAGTGGTGTTTATGGTCGCATGCACTCCTGTTGCATTCGATGCGACGATCCACTCTGAGGCATGGTGTTGAGACAAAGACATTCGACACTTCTCAAGACCCCCTGGTTTCTGAGAATTCTAAAAAACGTGATGCAACCATCCACTCTGAGTCATGGTGTTGAGACATAGACATCTTACACTTCTCAGGACCCCCATCCACTCTTCTTGCTCTGAATTTCCAAATTCCGCCTTCCCTTCCCCTTCCCCCTTCCTGTTTCCCTGCTCCACACACCACAATCCCCATCCCAACCCCCGTCCTTCCCCTCCCCTCCCCTCTCCCCGTTTCTTTGCACCACACCACGACCTCCCCCCAACGCCCCCCTCACCTCCCCTCTTTTCCTATGCATTGAATATGCGGTTCACTATTGAGCTGTGCATGCCTATCTGTGTGTTTATACACGTGCATGTCTGTGTGCCCCTGCATGCATGTTTGCCTAACCATGCACACATGGTATCAGAGCTACTCTACATCCATCGCCAAGCGTGCTACCTCTGCACCTGTTTTTTCACTTGCCCTACTCGCTGGGGTTGTGTTTTTTGCGGTTGTTTGCATGCATATGCATGCCTGTTTTGTGTGCCCCTGCTTGCATGTTTGTCTACGCATGCATGCACAAATGTGGTATCAGAGCCGCTTTAAATTCATCGCCAACCCTGAAAGTTCACCTGGTTAAGCACTTGCCTGACTCTTCTGGTTTGTGTTTTTGCGGTTGTTTGCACACATGTGGTATCAGAGCCGCTCTACATTCATCGCCAAACATGCTACCTCTTTGGCCGCGAGAGAAAAGTGGGTGTGGGGGGCAATGAGAGTGGGGGGGGCAATGGGAGTGTGGGGGGCAATGAGAGTGGGGGGGGGCAATGGGAGTGTGGGGGCAACGAGGGTGTGGGGGAAATTGGAGTGTGAGAAGGGGTAAAGGGAGTGTGCAGCATATTGGCAGTGTGGGCAGCAAATGGTCCTGTTAGCCACACATGGCTCATAACCATTTGTGGCTCATAGCCAAGTGTGGCGCAGTCCTGTGGTGGTTGTGGCACAGCAATTATCCTTTCACATATCCCAGAAACCCAATACTGAAATTCGCTACCCTCTGGCCCTTCTATCCGGTCTTGCCGCCCTTGTGAATTCTCAGAAACCACTCTTGTCTTTTGTCACCATGTACAAAGCCACTCACAGCGTGCTGACAAGCAGGTGTACTGTACATTACCCTGTTTGCATATAACCATCTCACCATCTGACCATCTGACTTGGGGCACGTTGCAGATGTGCCAACAGACCATCCATCTGTTGTGGGGCTTCCCTTTATGGGCGTCAGAACTTCAATTTTTCTGTGTAGTTTTGAGACGTCTCAAAACTATGGGCGTCAGCCTTTCTGTGTGCTGTCCTACCATGCGTGTGCGACGTGGGGTGGGCAGGTTGCAGACGTGCCAACAGACCATCCATCATGCAGCAAGCAGCACGCCGTCATTCAGTTCCGGTGGGTGTGCTGTGCGGTGCGGTGCTGTGTGGTGTGGTGCTGTCCGGTGCTGTACCATCTGACCATCTGACCATCTCATCATGTCATCTTATCTCACCATCTCATCATGTCATATCACCGTCTCGTCTCACCATCTCACCATCCCACCTATCTCAACACTAGCATCTCCTCTGCTGCTGACTTTTGAGTAGACTCAAAAATAACAACACCAGCATCTCCTCTGCTGCTGACTTTTGAGTAGACTCAAAAATAACAACACCAGCATCTCCTCTGCTGCTGACTTTTGAGTCGACTAAAAAATAACAACACCAGCATCTCCTCTGCTGCTGACTTTTGAGTAGACTCAAAAATAACAACACCAGCATCTCCTCTGCTGCTGACTTTTGAGTCGACTCAAAAATAACAACACCAGCATCTCCTCTGCTGCTGACTTTTGAGTCGAGTCAAAAATAACAACACCAGCATCTCCTCTGCTGCTGACTTTTGAGTAGACTCAAAAATAACAACACCAGCATCTCCTCTGCTGCTGACTTTTGATTCGACTCAAAAATAACAACACCAGCATCTCCTCTGCTGCTGACTTTTGAGTCGACTCAAAAATAACAACACCAGCATCTCCTCTGCTGCTGACTTTTGAGTCGACTCAAAAATAACAACACCAGCATCTCCTCTGCTGTTGTATTCTATCGTTTTAGTAGCGTTTTCTACCCTATCTCATTCTTATCTCATTCTTAGTCGACTCAAAATGTTGCATTCTATCGTGATATAAGTGTTATTCACTTTCTCTCATTACTATATTGCCTGCCATTACACTCATTCGTGGTCATGCCAGGCTAGTGGACAAGGAAGAACCGAGTGGGGAGATGACTTCCCTTGTGAGGTGAGAGGGTGGAGATTGTTGTGAGATGAGGGGGGTGGAGCTTGTGAGGTATGGTAGTAATGATTTTCTCACCGGCATGCCAGGCTAGTAAACAAGGAGGAAGAGATGACCTCTCTTGTGAGGTGAGTGAGCGGTGCTTTGAGGTGAGAGAGTGGTGCTGTGAGGTGAGTGAGCGGTGCTTTGAGGTGAGAGAGTGGTGCTGTGAGGTGAGTGAGCGGTGCTTTGAGGTGAGAGAGTGGTGCTGTGAGGTGAGTGAGCGGTGCTTTGAGGTGAGAGAGTGGTGCTGTGAGGTGAGTGAGCGGTGCTTTGAGGTGAGAGAGTGGTGCTGTGAGGTGAGTGAGCGGTGCTTTGAGGTGAGAGAGCGGTGCTCTGATGTGAGAGCGGAGTTGTGCAGTGAAAGGGTGGTGCTGCGCAGTGAGAGTGGTGCTGTGCAGTGAGAGAGTGGTGCTGTGCGGTGAGATTATGGTCCTTGTGAAATCACAAGGTGAGCAAAGTGAGAGGGGAGGGACTTGCAATGATGCTTAGGGAAAGAGATCCTCGTAAACCCATTTGCAATAACTCACAACCATACACAACTGTTTGCAAGCACTCAGAACCATTCACAAGCACTCCTCCTAATCACTCGCTGAAATTCCGATCCTCTCTCTCTCTTCTTCGCAGGCCCTATCTCATGGATCTTGGCAGCACCAACGGCACGTTCCTCAATGTGAGCTGCACCATATCCCTCACATGGTGCTGCACGGTGATGCATGGTGATCCATGGTGCTGCATGGTGCTGCATGGTGATGCATGGTGATGCATGGTGTGGTGTGCGTGCGGCATGGTGATGCGGTACCATGGCATGGGATATGGTTCCAATGTGCAGATTGTGAATTCTAGTCTCCGCGTTCCCAACTCCCATCTCGCCCTCCCTGTTTCTACTCACTACCACGCTAAAACAAAAAAAACCAAAGCAAAGCAAAACAAAACAAAACACCAGTCTTGAGGCACCTAAAAAAAATGACAAAAAAATACTCTCTCCACTTCCCTCCCTCCTGTTAAGGAAGATGCTCCTCTTGTAGAGAGGGTGTTTTTGAGACGTCTCAAACATAGACTCTCCACTTCCCTTCCTCCTGTTTGAGGAAGATGTTCCTCTCCCGCTTCCACCACACAACCTGCTGCAGCCTGCATGCACGCACGCATGCACCACGTTTCTCCCTTAATTGGTCCGTGGTCCATGCACTCATAATATGCTTTAGAATCTCGAAGTTTTTTTTTTCTGCATACATTCATCCACGGGAAAAACCGGAAACCCTGTAACCAACTACGCTTCCATTCTTAGCTCGCGTCACTGCCACGTGCCGTGAGTTGGGGGGCTCTCTGGACCAAGAATG